CGGGTTCCCTGCTCAGCAGGGAGCCTGCTTCTCCCTCTCCCTGCTGCTCCCCCTGCTGTGCTCTTGCTCTCTCTCTCTCTGACAAATAAATAAATAAAATCTTAAAAAAAAAAAAAAAAAAGAATGAGTAGAAGCATGGCAGCTTGCAAGCAATGGCCTCAGTTTCCCCTCTTTAATGACCCAGTATGGAAAGAAGGTTCCTGTAGTATTTAAGTATCCACTGAACCCTACCACACACCCACCATTTCTTACCAGCCCTGAAATCCTGCTAGAAAAGATCCATCAAGGACATTAAATTATGGAATCCTGAATGCCCTTCCTCTTGACCGGACGTGCATTAGGTCTATGTCCCATCACACTGAGAAACTAATGAACGCTTGTATTCTTTTCCCCCAGGCACTTTTCAGAAACTCGTTAGAGAAAGCCATTTCAGATCTGACTTCTCAGACCTGGGACTCTGTCAGAGATTTTTCAAAGGCCAGCTTCCTCATAATATGTCGTAATATGTCAATGGCATTTCATTTCTTTCTTTTTTTTTTTTTAAAGGTTTTATTTATTTATTTGACAGAGTGAGAGACAGAGAGAGTGGAAACACAAGAGAGCGGGAACACAAGCAGGAGGAGTGGGAGAGGGAGAAGCAGGCTTCCCACCGAGCAGGGAGCCCGATTCGAGGTTTGATCCCAGGACACCGGGATCATGACCTGAGCTGAAGGCAGACGCTTAACCGACTGAGCCACCCAGGTGCCCCCCCTTTTTAAAGATTTTATTTATTTATTTGACAGAGAGAGGCAGCGAGCATTTCATTTCTAATGTAAATAATTTGCAGCACTCCTTTATCATAGTTAAAAATCACAATTTATCCTATCAGGAGCCACATAATGAGCACATTTTCTCCAGCTGGTCAGGATGCTGATGAGACAGGTCAGTGCAGCCCTGAAAGAATTCAAGGGGCTTTGCCTTTGGTTTCTGTGTGCAGCCTCTCACATCACAGGATCTGGGGGATCTGGGTGGTCAAAAGGGAGTTTTTCCTGGGTAAATGGCTCGGATACTTTGGGGAAAACAAAGAATTCCATCAGAGAAGAACAAGATATGCCAGAAAGGAGACTTTCTGAGAGGTAAGTAAGGGTCCCAGGAAAGAAGTTACCCCAGTGAAGTTTCAGACCACTGGGAGAACCTCTGGCCATTGTAACAACAAAACAATATTGAAGGAATGAGTCATGGAGATATCTAAAAATGCTTATCTCTGGGGACTCTTCAAGGAGTTTTCTTTGTTTGTGTTGGGGGGTGGAGTGGGGAGGAGGGTTAGCTTTATCCGTTCTGTCTCAGCCGATAATCAAATCATTCATGGGACCCAAAAGGACACACACTGAAAATGCCCTGTGGCAAATACACAATCTGCTGACCACTTCCTTCCAATGCTGTTGGTAAAAGGCCATATAAAAATTGAAAGCTGTTGATGGCATTTGCCACAGAAGCCAGTTATGGGAACTCAGAAGTAACAATCCCGGAGAGGGGTAAATACAAGTCTCACCGGTGTTGTTGGGAGACCTTGGGGAAGGGCTGTTGTGGTTTACCCTCTGGAGACAACTGAACACCACAGAGGGACATTTCCCTCCCCTATTCCCAACCCCCTCTACTCCACACTCACTGCTGGCCAGCAACCCAAACCAGGCCTCAGAGCAGGAAAATGCTCATCACTGTAAGAAACTACTAAACCCTCGAACTAGAACTTCAACTGCCAAAATAATGACACGGTTATTACAATTCACTCAAGCCTGGGACAATTAAATTGATATACTGGGTGAGGAGAGGGGGAGCATAGCAGGATCTCCAGGTTCTTGTTAAAGTTCTCCCCGCCTCACCCTCTGCAACTCCTCTTCACCCCTCCTGTTTCCACGTAATTCAGTAAGATGAGGATGACCATGGGCAACTTTGAATTACTTGATTTAGGAGAAGGGTGCACTCATACTGTTGCAAACTAACATCAATTCTCATAAAGAAACGGCTTCACAGTTCAGCTTGGGAAGGTCTCTCTCTCTAAAGGAAGATTTAAAATCACACCAAAGAATCCGTGATTTGGATTTTTTTGTGTGTGTGTGTAAGTCTATCTCACTTTAGATAAAGAGCATACGTTATAAGACTTGGATCTGTAGCACAAGAAGATGATGATTCATATTTCAAAAAACCGGTCACTATTTGAGTTTCTTTCAATGGGTAATTCCTCTATTTTGTTGACAATGTGGTTTTAAAAGTCACTTTAACTTTTCAGAAGTATGCGGACTACATAAAGCAAAGTCGATTTGCATTTTTACCAAAGGTGTCCCTAAAGCTTTTCAAACGTCACCCTCTAAATCCCCCACTGCTATTTTCTTACAGGAAAACAGAATAAAGAAATAAAAGAAAAATCCTCCTTCTTCCATCAACATTGTCAACCATTCAGTAGTAAATTCTTCCCACTAAGATGTTTAAGTACACTGGGCTCAGAAATCACGGGAATCCCTGAAACACAATAACCCCACATTGTTTTCCATGGCAGAGGTTTCAAAAACAAAGACAGGGTGCACAAGTACAAAGTTGATTCAAACGAGATAATCCAGATACAAACACAGTCCCAAGAGTCAGGAGGTATAAAGTCTCTGTGCTAGAAATCTGGACCACTGGCACAAGGGAATGAAGAACCATTTCCTGTGGGGAGGTAGCAGGTGGGATGCTGTAAGCATCTTCCAGTTTCCTAGAGTAAGAGTTGGCAAAAGTCAGGAACAGAGCAAGAGAAAAACGGGGAGTCACCAAGTGGCCCTCCCAAAAAGCCAAAGCTGCTGGGCAACAGGGAGGGTCACCTCACGGCAGGAAGACCAGATGAGATGCCACAGTCCCTGAGCTCTTACAGTGGGCAAAGCTGCTCTAAATGCATTCACTTGCATTAACTCACAGAGTTAATGACTCCTGTGTCTGACTCCTTTACACTCTTAAAAATAGATAACGCCCAAGACCTTTTATTTATGTAGGTTGCTTCCCTTGGTAGGTACTGTAATATATATTTCAATGGGAAAAAAATTTTAGATATTTACTAATTCATTTTTTAAGTAGTTTCACACATTAACAGAAATAACTTTCTTATCATCAGTCACAATATTTTCCAAAGAAAAAAAAGAAAAAAAAATTCATGAGAAGAGTGGCACAGTTTTACAGTTTTTCAAATCTCCCTCATGTCTGGCTCAATAGAAGGCAGCTAGACTCCCTGAGCTGCTTCTGCATTCAAACTGTCACGCTATCCCAGGGCACGTTAGTCTCAAGCAAACGCCACATAGAGTTGCGTAGGAATGAATGTTAAAAAGGCAAATAATATCATAGTGCTATTATGAACTATTATGAAAATACTTGGGTCTCATGGACCTCTGAAAAGTTTCAGGGACTCCTTAGGGTCCCCAGACAGCACTTGGAGAACCCGTTCTTATTATCCCCATTTCACAAATCAGCAAACCGGCACAGAGAGGCCAAGAGGACTGTCCAAGAACACACTGCTGAAACAGGTCAGAGCAGGTAAAAGGCAAAGAGCATAATCCTTACCTTCATCTGGTTGCTGCAAGGATTGCCTGAGACAGTGAATGGGAAGGGTTGAGCATCCCGCACGGCCTATCAGAAGTGCTCAATAATAACATGAACACTTCTGTTGGGCAAGGCCTGGTGGAAAAGCTAGGGAAATTCTGATTACCTGATTATATGACACCAGCAAGGAAAAAGAAAACTCTGCAGCGAGCACTGTCTAGAGCAAGGATCCTACCCCAGCTGTCGGGATGGAAGCAGCATTTTGCTACTCAGCAATTCCAGGGCCTTATTCCACCCTCCATTAGGCAAATGATAACAGCAATCTAGGCACACTGTCACCGCGTTCCTTGGGAAACTTGAGCAAGCCCACAGAGCTGCTCCATTATTTACAGCCTCCTTTTTGCATCGTGCTGTACTTACAAGGAACCCTCAACAAACAACCAGGGCACCTCTAGCCTGTGCAACCAAACCTCCTCCGGGGACCGGCATCTGTGGCCTTCCTGTCCAGGGGCTCAGCACCCCACTGCAGTCCTTGTCCACCAACTTTCTGCAGCCACAGGCCCTCTGCTCCTGCCTGAGGTGGGTGCTCAAGCCCTCAGAGTGCAGGTCACTTCTGTTCCTGCTTATATTTGGGAAGTGAGCTCACCTGGGCAAGGGGGACCCCCACACTCTCAAAACACTAGCCCCCCGACCGAAGGCACTGGAAGAGGCCCCGGAAGCTACAGTTTTCACCCAAGTGCATGCCAGGATCTCTCTCACCTGGGGCACTGAAACTCGTCTCCTTGCTTCTACGTTGACACCCCTCCTCACACACACCCCAGTCCACTCTCCACCAACAGCCAGAGGCCTTTTTTTCAGTGTAGGAGGAATAAGGTCTGTTATATTGCGAAAAACGCTCCCAAGGCTCAACTCCGTTGGAATAAGACCCCAACTCCTTCCAGGACCTGCCTCAACTGGCTCTGATCTCTGGGTATCATCAGCTCTACCAGCAAGAGTGTCTTCTCTTGGGCCTTTGCTCTGTCCGCGCCCACTCCGGGCAGCGCCCCTTCAGGACCTCCAACAGCTCAGATGTCGCCTCCCCGAGGAGGCCTTCGCGGAGACCTCACTCGCGCAGGTAACCTTTATTTTCCCGGTAGACGACACGTCTCCCTCCGTCCAGAGCCTCGTCCGAGAATGTAAGCCCCCCCCGCCAGCACAGGTCCGCCGGGAGGGACCCCGCGACACCCGGAGCCTGGCCCCCTGCCCGGCACAGGCGACGCGCTCAGCGACCGAGCGAATGAATGAGGAGCGACGCCCGTGGCCGCGGGAGTCCCGGACCGGCGTCCCCGGTGGCCCGCGCGTCCGCCCCGTCCGGCGGCGCGACCCCAGGCGCGCGCGGACCGGGACTTGGCGGCGGCTCCCCCCCCCGGCCGCCGCAGGTGCCTCCCGCCGGCGCGCGCTCCCGGGTCACTCACCATGGTGGCCGGGCCTCCGCCGCCCCCGCCCGCCGCCCGGCGAGCGGCGAGCGGCGAGCGCGGGGGTCACGAGGGCGCGAGGCGAGCGCAGGAGCCCGCGCGGCTGACAGGTGAGGTGCCCGCCTCAGACCACGGCTGCTTCCCACAATGCCCTCGAACTGAAAGTTTGCAGACTCCTCCCCGCGCTCCTCCCCTCTCCCTCGGGCTCCTTCCCCCCTCCCCTGCTTTTCCCCTCCCCTCCCTCCCCCACCCCCTCCTCCCCCTCCTCCATCTTCTCCTCTGCCTCCTCCACCGCGTCCTCTCCCCCGCGCCCCCCGCCCCGCGCCGCAGCTCTCCCAGCCCAGCGCCCCGCGGGCGGCAGCAGGTGCACTTGCACCTGCCCGCGCCTCTGCACCCCCGGGCGCTGGGAAGCGCTGAGCAGGGAGCCCTGAGGGGGCCGCTTTCCGGATTCTGTGCGGGGAACGTGTCGTTCATTTATTTGAGAAACGTGTTCCGCCCTGGCACTTGGGAATACGCTTAGGGGAAGTGGCAAGAGGTGGGCTCGTCCTAAACCGCCAAGGGCAGAAGCGGTTGGCAGATGCAGAACTAGAAGCAATTAGACTTCTTTCTTTCTTTTTATCTTCTAATCCTGCAAACCAAGGACATAGATCGTTTTCTACAGGCGCGGTTTTAAGTCTCTCCTAAGACTTTGTGGCGTCCAGTCTCCAGTCTCTCTCCTCCACTTGATTTTTCTTAAGTCTGGGGTTTTTACCTGGGGCGGCAGAAGTCTCCAGACCCCCAGGTGGTAAGCAGAGTTTTGAGTGTATACACAGGTTCTTTTGGGAGAGTCCATTGGTTTCATCACATACCTAAAGAGATCCGTGTGGAAAGGTTAAAAGGCTTTGCCTGGGGGGTCCCTGGAAGCCAAAACTGGTGGAAGTCCTTCCTAGGATTTACTGTGTAATTTCCATGGGGTGTGGGCCAGCCGAGGTGTTGGGAAACAAGGGATACTCCGTCCATCCATGCATCGCTGCCGCATTTATCAGTGCTCACTCTGTGCCAAGTCCTACAGAAGGAGATGGGGGTCCAGCTGGGAACAAACAAGCTGCCTTTCTTCTGAAGCTTACAGGCTCTTGTGGGACAACAAATAATAAACAGGTAAATAAATAATAATATTTTGAAATAATTATAAAGTAAGATGAGTGTTAAAAAAAAATTATAAGGAGGGTAAGTGCAGGTGGCTGGGATGGGCTCAGGGAAAGCCACATTCATTGAGCTGGGGGCGGGGGGGGGGGGGGGGGGGGGGGCAGGGCCGGGACATAAGACCCGGAGGTGAGAAACCAGTGCTCAGAAGGAAAAGAAGAGAGTTGTCATTTTCAAAAGACCCTAAAGCAGGCCTCTGTGTCTGGACGTAAGCGATAGGAGGCCAGAGTGGTGGCCGGAGTCGGAAGGCACTGGGTCTTCCCTACATTATGGCATCATGTGCACTTATAGCCCCCAAGACAGCCTCAAAGTCCTCAAAAAGTTCACCTCCGTGTTGCCACACACCTCCTGTTGGCTTCCGCCCCAGTGTTGCGGCATCTCCCAGAGGGCTCTGGAAGAGGATACTTAACAGTTACACCCCAGGCAATGGGGTGAGTCTGCCTCTTGACAGATGATCCACAATTTACTGTGAAGTTACGAGAGCTGCTTTCTAAACTTCTAATTGTCACCCCATGGTGCGTTTTCTCCCTATCTTTGGCCTTTCAACTTTACCCAGTTCTACTCTAACCTTTGTGTGTCTTTTTCTTTCTAACTTCAGGACAAGACCGAGCCCTGCCCCACCTGCCTTGCTGAGCCTATGAAAAGCATCCAGAGCCCTCTGCTTTAAGGGTTTTATTGCTAATGCAAAGAGCTGGGGAACTAAAGGTGTGCTTGAAAACTAAGGAAATCTCAGTGCTCTTGCCATAATGGTTCCGTAAAAGATTAAAGCAGGAAAAATTCCCTTACAGGGTGGCCCATGTTAGGGAACGTTTGAATAGAAAATGAGGAGAGTTTAACTTAAAAACTATTAGTATCCTTCGCCTTCCCTCACAGCCTTGCTGAGACGGGCAGTGGAAGTTCTCCTGGGCTTCTGCCCCCGAATGTTCTTCCCTCCAGATTCTCCCATTGCACCCAGATTCCCCCACCCTCCCCAGGGCTCGACGCTTCACAGAGCTTAGCTTATCTGGCTGTAGAGACAGCCTGTAGAGAGGGGGCTGCTGTGCCCGTCGTCCAGACGGAGCCTGAGACTCAGAGGAAGTGAGGCCAAAGCAGGCTATAAGACAGCTAGTAAGACAGCTAATAAGAGGCAGAGCACGTCTGGTGTCACGGCACCATGGCTCAAGCTGTTTCCCCCTGAAGCCTCACACGGGGACAGACCCACTCAGTTCACGACAGTGGGTGGTGAGCAATGTGTATTCAGAACGCCCACATGTCTCAGAGGAATAACTTGCATTTTTGCGTCTTCACTCCCCTCTCCCATCTTTGCTCCCTTTCGAACTCCTCAGCAGGTCTACCAACAATGAGGCTGACCCCAAGGGGGGGACCCAGAGGCCCTGTAGCTTAAGATGTTCCCCTGTAAAAAGGGGCTCCCTGGTCCAATCCCGAGGGGGTCTTTAGATTCAGAATCTGCTGGCCTAGGCAGAGCTCAGGGAGCACAGGGCGCTGTGTGTTTCAGATGAGGTTGTGAGTTGGTGCACAGCGATTCTGTGTGTGTACATTTACTCACCACACAATGCCGGTAATTGGTCAACTCAAGGCATGAATTTCGCTCCAGAACCACAAGGTAACAGAAGATAGAGAGAATGCGGTGAAAGCCACCACCAACCATGGAGGTGGGGGAGGAGGAGAATACTGATATTTATTTTTTGGGGGGGGGGTTTGTTTTGTTTTTTGTTTTTTTTTAATATTTTATTTATTTATTTGACAGAGAGAGAGAGAAAGCACAAGTAGGCAGAGAGGCAGGCAAAGGGAGAGGGAGAAGCAGGCTCTCCACTGAGCAGGGAGCCCGATGTGGGGCTCGATCCCAGAACTCTGGGATCACGACCCGAGCCGAAGGCAGCCGCTCAACCGACTGAGCCACCCAGGCGCCCCCTGATATTTATTATTGATAATAATATTTATTACTGATAATAAAGTAAAACTATGATAATCTATAAACCAAAATGCTGCCTTTCTAGGGATTGAGAGAGGTCAAGCTACAAGTTTTAAAAATAAAAGAAGCAAAAGAGAGGCCCATTTCAAAGCCTTCTTACATAATGCCTCCACAGCAGCATATGTCCTTGATTGAAACCTGGCCCTCCTGTTCCCCAGTGCCCTCCGGTTAACGTTGTAAGTAATCAGCATCTCCAGTAATCCCTTCTGCGGTGCACAGGAATTCATCTTGTCATGGGGAAACTTTTGGCTTAAGCCTGTACACTCTTTAGAAAATCCCTTTTCTTGTCAAACAGGACATTTTTATTCCAAGTGGAAGAACCTTATCCATTATATTTCTAAGGCATATTTTCAGAAAAATTTTCAGTCAAAAATCATACAGGTTCATTGTAGATTAGGAAAATCAAGAAAAGTGTTGTTTTAAAATCCCATTCTTGGGGCGCCTGGGTGGCTCAGTCGTTAAGCATCTGCCTTCGGCTCAGGTCATGATCTCAGGGTCCTGGAATTGAGCCCTGCATTGGGCTCCCTGCTCAGCGGGGAAGACTGCTTCTCCCTCTTCCACTCCCCCTGCTTGTGTTCCCTCTCTCGCTGTCTCTCCCTCTCTGTCAAAATAAATAAATAAAATCTTAAAAAAATAAAATAAAATCCCATTCTTAATTCTACCATCAAGAAATAACCACTGTTATATTTGGTGTAGTTCCTTTCAAATTTGCAATCTATAGGGAGAGAGATAGTTTTTAAAATAAAAATTGGAATTTTATTATATGTACTGTCTTATAGTCTGCTGTGGGTTTTTTGTTTTTTGTTTTTAGTAACATAGTTATTGAACAAATGTTAATTGAGCACTTGTTGCGTGCCAAGAACTATGCTGGCTACCAGGCATAGAATGGTGAAAAGAGACACGGTCCCTCTCAAAGTAAGTGCAGAGGGTCATGGGAAAGACAAATACTAAATAAACAGTGGCATACATAAACATACAGTTTATCACAAATGCTATGAAAGGGAAGGATAAGGTGCTATGCAATCATGTAGTCAAAAAAATCCCGGTGGGACATATATTGTTTACCTCTTCAGGATCCATTCCCCCTGCTTCCTGCACTCCCAGGTTAGCTTTGGGACCCGACCCACACGTGAACTCTTAGTCTTAGGGGTGGCACCTGACCTAGTCCTAGTCAGTCAGTTCATTGCATTGTCACAGTGACAATGACTGGTTTTAAAATAGGCAAATACCTGGAGTCAAGTAACCCAAGTTAATTGGACTGAATTCTGGGACACTGTTTGGAATCCTCTTGGAGAAATCTATCCCCTCTTCCTACTGGGTTTGAAGGTGAATGAGGTAGCTGGAACTGCTGCAGCCATCTTAACACCATGAAGGTTGAGCTTTGCCGTGGAAGCAAGGCCAAGGAAATGGGGCCTAGATGTGGAGAGAGAATCAGGTCCGGTGACTTCTTCTGTCCTGAATCGAGCCTGAGCTAACCTTGGGTTTTGCGGCTATCTGAACTAGTTTGAATTGTCACAGTTTGGGGTAATTAAGATGATTGGGGATGTAAAGGTTTTCCTGAGGAGAGGAGGTGTAAGGTGAGATCTGAGGACTGAATCAGAGTGAAGCTGGCTTGGACCAGGAGGGAGGTGAGGAGCACAACTGAAGCAGAGGGAATAGCACGCAAGCTGGAGAATACTGGAACAAGAAAGCTTGAGTGTGGGGAGGGGCAGATCACGTAGAGCCTTGGGAGTCACTTTAGGGGCTCGGAATATGAGACCAAGATATGAGAAACCACTGAAGGCTTACAAGCAGAGAATTGTCCAGATTATGTTTTAAGGATGTTTATGAATAATCCCATTTGCTGCAGTGTGGAGAACCGCACTGAAGGCAGACGAGAGAGGACATAGGGAGACTTACTTGAGAGCCTTTGCAATATTTCAAGTGAGAGATGATATTGTGACTTCGACCAGGAGGGTTATAATGGATTTTTTACTTCATATTATTTTGTGAGA